GGGCAACAGAGAGAGACTCTGTCTCAAAAAACCAACAAACAAAAAAACAGAAGAAAACACAACACTGAATAAGATCTCTGTTTGCAGTGGGAAAATTTATACAGTAATTAACTGACAAATCAGAAGTCACAGGATCTATCCAGTCAGTGACAAATGTGAGAAAATGATTCCCGCATGCCTAGGTCTGACTACCTTCCCTAAGCAACAAACTCTCTTTCACAGGCAAACAGGTAGGCAGCTGATTTTAATAAGAGCGTGCATAAAAACCATCTGGAAGGTAAATAGATTTACATTTTTAATCTGACGTTATTGGAACGTTTTTCCTGCACAGTGAAAACTCCACCTTAATAATTTAAACTGTTTTTCTTGGTGTACCTCAGCCTACTTCTTTTAAGCACCTCTTCATTTTAAGTTAGGTTCTTTGGGCTTGATTGATTTTAGTGTTTAAAAGCTTAATTTCAGGCACTGTTGGGCTGCTAACCTGGGACTGCTGTGTGGGTTTGTAGTTCAACTTGGGCGGGGGAGGGGGTGTGGCAGGGGTGATGGGTTTTGCTGAGCTTTCAGTGAATTCCCACACTCACCTGGAAGGGAGTGAACAAAAGGGACAGGGAAGGGAAATTATCCTACAGCTTTCAGGGCCCTGCAACATATACATAATAAAAACACAGAATAATAGGTATCATTTGCTTTTGTGAGGCATTGATAGCAGTTCCTTAAAAATAGCTAGTGCTCTCTTGTCGTCCAAGCTAGAAATGTGGGTAGAAGCCTAAAGCCCTCACTTTGCTTGACTCCCCTGCTTCATCAGTCACCAAGATTTGTAGATTCCATATGTTTAATGCCTTTAAATCCAAGTCACCCCTCTCCCTCTCCCTCCCTCTTTCCTTTCCTTAGTTCACACCTCCATGTATCTGTGCTTGAGTTACTTCAGCCGCCTCCTTACTGGCCTTTTCAGGTCTTGTCTTGTTCCTGTTCAATTTGCTTAAAAGCTCCATGACTCCCTGTTGCTGATAGGACAAGCTCAGGCTCCTTAGCCGAGTATATCCTTTATGATCTGCTGCTGAGGCTGATGACCATGGGGTGGGGGGCAGAGAAAAGGATGAAGAGTAAGGCCAGAGGGTTGGGCAGGAAACTTTTAGGGATGTAAAGAAGTTTAGTCATTATCCTGTGAGCAATGCGAAATCACAAATGCTCAGGGTTTTTTTCTGTTGTTGTTTTGAAACAGAGATTTTGCTCTTGTCGTGCAGGCTGGAGTGCAATGGCATGATCTCAGCTCACTGCAACCTCCACCTCCTAGGTTCAAGTGATTCTCCTGCCCCAGCCTCCCGAGAACTGGGATTACAAGCGTGTGCCACCCTGCCCAGCTAATTTTTGTATTTTTAGTAAAGATGTGATTTTACCACGTTGGCCAGGCTGGTCTCAAACTGACCTCTGGTGATTCACCCACCTCAGCCTCCTAAAATGCTGGGATTACAGGGGTAAGCCACCGTGCCTGGCCACAAATTGTCAGTTTTAAGCAGGGGCATGGCATGAACAGATTTGCGTAGTGGTTAAAAGCAAGGGTTCTGGAATCCAATTTAAATTCAGATCTGACCATGCCACCTAGTTGTATGTCCTTGGGCAACTTACTGAAGCTTTCTGGACCAGTTTCTCTGATTATAAAATGACAGTTAAAACCGCTGTGAGATAGGCACACTTTGTGAGCACTAAATGAGGTCATGCTTAGCATACTACTTGGCACACAGTAATCATCCCACTATTTTGTTTATTTCCACAGTTTTGGGGGGAACAGGTGTTATTTGGCTACACGAATAAGTTTAGTGGTAATTTCTGAGACGTTGGTGAACTCATCACCTGGGCAGTATACACTGTTCCCAATTTGCAGTCTTTTATCCTTCACCCCCTCCCACCCTTTCCCCTGAATCCCTAAGTTCTTTGTATCATTCTTATGACTTTGCAACCTCACAGCTTAGCTCCCACTTATGAGTGAGAACATACAATGTTTGGTTTTCCATTCCTGAGTTACCTCACTTAGAATAATGGTCTCAATTCCATCCAGGGTTATTCCAGGGTTATTGGGGAATGTATCATTCTCATTCCAGGGTTACTGGGGCATGTTTCACCAGGTTGCTGTGAATGCCATTATTTCTTTCCTTTTTATGGCTGAGCAGTATTCCATGGTATACACACACCACCATTTCTTTATCTAGTCATTGATTGATGTGCATTTGGACTGGTTCCATATTTTTGCAATTGTGAATTGTAAGCAGCCCACTAATTTTAATTATCATTATTATTAATAATTCCTACTCTTTCTATGCTTTTTCTAACAAGCCCTCAAGACGGTTCAGCCCTGTTCCCATGTGCTTTTATAACACCTTGCATTTATCCCTGTTTGCAGGACTTCTGAGTCTGTCTCTTAATTGACCATGAATGTGTTATTTCCCCCATCAATCCATAGCTCCCTACAGTCAGGAACTATGGCTGATGCGTGGTAATGAATGACTACCTGAGATTGCTTTGTACTTCGATTCACATTATCTCTTTTGTTCTCTCCTTATCGCCACTTTACAGTTGTGATAACAAAGGCTCAGAGAAATCAAGTTTTAAGCCCCAAGTCCTTCAGTGAACGAGCATCAGAACGGCAACTCATCTCAGTCCTGTGGATTGCACCATGGCCTGGAAGGAAAAGTTCAGGGCAATATTACCCTCCAAAAACAACCTCCTGAGAGCAGGGCGAGTGTTTTCACAAAGCTTCATGGAATGTCAAAGTGCAGAAATAAAACACTTCAGCTGGAAAAATAACACATCGCCAGAAATCAACCCCAATCCTACCAAAAATAATAATGCCAGGAAACGGAGCTACATACACAAAAGGGAATGTGCACCAGGATACACGTAAAAACTCACCTTGGCAAAGCTGATATCCTCCTGGCCAAGCCAGAGGAGTGATTCGGTTTAAGAGAGAATTGGAAGGAGGACATGTGCCCTTGCTAGTCCATCTGAAGAAGTGTGCCAACCCACCCGGCAATGTTCAAGTCCCTGCCTTATAATCATAAGCCTGATCATAGCAAAAATGTGGAGTGGTTACAATGAAAATTTCCAAGGTAGAAAAAGATCAGTTCTTGGTAATACTAGAAGCTGGTTGCATAGGCCAGTGGCTCAAATCTCACAGTGCAGGGCCAAAGAAGCCAAAGTTGAGGTTGATACTGGTACGGGCCAGTTGGCTTTGCACTGAGGGGGAAAAAATTCTATGGTCAACCTTCATCCCACTCAATCATCTTGCCAATGTTGGTGTTTGGGGTCAAAAATGGATTGGGGAAGAGTGTGGAGGACCTGATGCCAGTGTTGACAGGCAGGGCTGACATTCAGACAGAGCACACCAACACAGACAGCCAACTGTCGAGTAATAAAACACCTCTGCACCAGTTGGGGGCTGATCCCCCTGGGTGCGTCCCATATCACCCCAAGTGCCTCTGGATTAAAGCCTCATGCAACTAGTTGATGGCCCATCTTTTGAATATCATTTCTGATTACAACTACTAGGAAATAGCAAATAACTACCATTCATTCACTATTCATTTGCTCAATTCTTTGGGGAGGGGCATGCATGCTACTTTTTTACATTGATACATAACATTTTACATATGCATGGGATACATGTGATATTTTGTTACGTGCATGGAATGTATAATGATGAAGTCAGGGTTATTGGGGCATGTATCACCTTGAGTATCTATCATTTCTATGTACTGGGAACAGTTCAAGTCCTCTCTTCTAGCTACGTTGAAATATATAATACACTGTCCTTAACTACAATCACCCTGATGCAGGGCAGATGAGCCCCAAAGTGGGGCTTAGCCCTTGAGAGTTCTTGGTTTGCCCAGGAAAAAATTCAAGAGCAAGCCAGGGGTAGAAGAAAAGAGTTTTATCAATGCAGCAATGTTATAGCGCCGGTGGTGTGACTGCTCCTGCAGAACAGAGCTTCTCTGTACGCAGAGTAGCAGCTCAGGGCAGTTCTGCAGTCACATTTATAACTATTTTTAATAACATGCAGATTAAAGAACAATTTATGCAGAAATTTCTAGGGAAGGGGTAGTAGATTTTGGGTCATTGGGTCATTGCCACAGAAAGGGGCAATAACTCCCGGTGTTTCCATGGTGATGGTAAACTGACCTGGCACACTGATGGGTGTGTCTGATTGGAAAGCTGCCCCCACCCTGGCCCTGTATTAGCTAGGCCTCAATCTGGTCTGGTGTCCGAGCCCCGCCTCTGGAGTTGAGTCCCACCTCCTACTGCAACCCTACTCTGCTATCCATTATTAGAACTGCAATCCCAGCACTTTGGGAAGCCAAGATAGCATGAATTATTTTTCTCATTTTCAGAAGAAGAATCTACACCTTATTAAAAGTTGCAGTTAGGAAATAGCTGACAATTCAAACTGTGTTGTCCAAATCCTTAATCTTAATCTAAGCTTTAAACCATGTTAAAATATCGCCTATACTGAAACTTCAGAAAGAAAGCAAACCAAATAAAACAACCATTTGGGGATGGGGTGAGAGTGAGGCAGAAACAATATTAGGGAATTTTTATACACTCACACGTCCTCTTTGTGGAAATATAGAAAGACAGGAAAACATCTTGTAATGTCTTAAGGAGACAGAATTATGGACAGTTTCCTATCCCAAAACTCTCAAATATACATAAAATTTTGAAAGCACATGTGTTATCCATTATTCCAAGGAAAACCCAACACATATTGAGGCCACTGATGCTTCATGCCACAGCTCCAGGAAGGCTGAGGACCAAATATTTAGCATAATTCTTCATACTGTGATTCTTCTTGGCTTGGATTTTCAAGAAATTGAGAACATTGCTTTCTCTGAAGCAAAATAAAACTGTTTTGGATAAAGTTAAAGACAGATGACATTTAGAGTGATAAGCAGAGCTGATATATCCATGTTCAGCCAGTACTATCTACATTCAGAGTGAATGAGAACCAAAAATTTGGAATGGTTTTATTAACAACTCATCACACTATGAGAGCGTGGGGTAATATTTTGTATGTGATATACCAGCTGTCTACAGAGCTAAGCAAACCCAGAGATCACAGACTTTAGTCTCCTGTCTAAGTTCCAAGTAAATGGTCTTTAGGGAGACACCAAAAATAATGGCTGAGAAAATGACATGGTTCCTCTCATCAGAGCTCTTTTGGCTCCCTCTGATCATTGCTGCTCCCTGTTCTCACCATCACTTTGATTTCACTGGATGGCTCCATAAGTGAAGTTGGAGCTTGTGAGTCATGACTGAGACTGACTTGGTTGCTCGCATTTTCTGCCTCTGAGTCCTCCTGTTCACGTTTTCTCAAGCTTGGTGTCTATCCTACTTTAAATAAGAGGACAATGGGGCAGCTGACATATTTCCTGCAGAGACTGTGCCGCTTCTTGGTAAATCACAATCAGAAAGCTTCTGCCCATACTTTTTCTTCTAAGGGAAGGAAAAAACAGAGAGAACCATTAGGATATGTTTGAAAGATCTAAAATACCCAAAAAGGAAGGGCTATGTAGGGTTGTGGCAATAGAAAAGATAGTATGGTTTACATGGTTTCCATTACATAACCCTATCAAGGCCATTACCCCATAAGATCAGTCCTGAGGGGAGGTCCAATTTAATAAATTCCAGTCTAAACAGGCAAAAAATAACTTACATGGCATTCTTAATTGGAGTCTTCCAGAAATTAAGAGGAACCTGATTTTTGAAATCTTACACATACTCAACATATTTCACAATTATTTTTCTCAGTTTTCTTACACTGCACTGTATGTAACCCCTTCTTGCAAATTTCTGGAAACATTTATTACGATCTTTTGTTCAGCAAATATTCACTTCCTTTCCCCGTCCCACTGTGGGAAGAGGAGACTTTCCAGCCCATTGATGTTGGGCTAAGCCATGTGACTTTCTTTGGCCAAAGGAGTATTAGCAGATCTAACATTGCAGAGGTCTTAAATTTGTTTATGGGTTTTGGTCTGACCTCTTATGCTCTGGTAATCTACCATGAGGATATGCCCTGGGTATTTTCTGCTCTATCCATATGTGTCCCAAACCATGCATACATGGGGCAGACATGAACCCATTCGCAACTTGGATCCAGTCCAGTCAGATCCACAGCTTCATGCAGAACCACCCAGCTGAGCCCAGCCCAGCCACAGTCAGTCTAACTGTAGCCAACTGTAGACCCATGTGCAAGAGAATAAACGTTTGTTGTTAGCCACTGGGTTTTGGGTGGTCTGTCAATGGTCAATGTGTCTCTCTGTTCTTCTCCTCTCTCATTCCCCCTAATTCTAATTCACAAAGCCCTGAAGTATGGCAAGCTTCTCCTTCAAAGGAGAGAGAAGGGAGAACAATATGATGAGGCAAAATCAGGATCTTCTTTAACACACATCGGGAAAAGGAAAAGGCTGGAATTATTCGTGTATTGATAATTTCTAAACTGTGACACCTGTGATAATAGCTAACATTTGACAGGCTCGGTGTTAAACCCTTTATAAACTTGAACATATTTAATCCACCAGATAGCCTAAGAAGTCAGAATAAATGTCACCATTTGGTAGGAAGAAAACCCTGAGGCTTAGAGAGGTTACGTATTTTGTTAGAGGGTACCAGAGCTAGGATTTAAATACTCGGATTTAGGCGAATCCCAATAATCATTGAGCGACCTAGGCAGTCAACCGGTCTTAAAATGAAATACCATTCTTTAAGGCAACAAATTGACAAAGATTAGGAACATTCTAATACTGAATATTGGCAAGAATACCAGAGAGACATCTTATAAAATACAGGTGATAATGTAAATTGGCGCTAACATTTTGGAAAGTAATCTGACAATATTTATCAAGAGCCTGAACCAGTAATCTTTTGAACCAGTAATCCCACTTCTCTGATTATATTCTAAGGAAGTAATCAGAGATGCAGCCGAAGATTCAAGTACAAAATTGTTCTTCAAGATGTTGCTTATCACAGTGAAAAATTGGAATCAACTGAAATGTAAAATTGTTGCAGGATATTTAAATAATTGGTATTGCTACAGGCTGGAACGATATGCAACCATTAAAAATTGTATTTCAATGACAGGAGAAAAAGTCTGCAATAACTAAGTGAATAAATGCAGGATATAAAACTGAATAGAAGGCCGGGCGCGGTGGCTCAAGCCTGTAATCCCAGCACTTTGGGAGGCCGAGGCAGGTGGATCACGAGGTCAAGAGATCGAGACCATCCTGGTCAACATGGTGAAACCCCGTCTCTACTAAAAATACAAAAAACTAGCTGGGCATGGTGGCACATGCCTGTAATCCCAGCTACTCAGGAGGCTGAGGCAGGAGAATTGCCTGAACCCAGGAGGCGGAGGTTGCGGTGAGCCGAGATCGTGCCATTGCACTCCAGCTGGGTGACAGAGTAAGACTCCGTCTCAAAAATAAATAAATAAATAAAATAATAAATAATTAAATAAAATAATAAATAATAAAATAATAAAAAAAAAAAAAAAAATAATAAATAATAAAATAATAATAATAAATAAAATAATAAATAATTAAATAAAATAATAAATAATAAAATAATATTAGCATCATGCATTATTTCTGCATGATGTTTTTTTGTGTGTTTTTGTACCTTTTCATGATTTCTCAAGGTATTGAATAAGCAAGTGGTACTTTTGTATCTAGAAAAATATACTTAAAATGATTATTTTTAAAAATAGCAATTTTTATCCCTATACAATATAAGCACAAGGACAAGTCTTTATCTGTTTTGTTCAGTGATACATGCTCAGAATAGTGTCTGGCTCCTAGTATGTGTTCAGTAAATATTTGTTGAGTAAATGAAAGTTATACCCTGTGGTATATGCAAATCTATTGTGTGAGTATAGGTTATCTGTGGTTTCATAAATAACCATTCTCAAAACAGCAACCATTGTAATAGGCACATGCATTCTGTGGGCCAGGAGGTCAGACAGGACAAAGTGGGGTGCCTTATCTAGTTCCATGTTATCTGGAGCCTCAGCTGGGAAAAATATGTGCATTAATCTGCACTTGCTGCCATAACTATATTTTTATTGATTTATTCATTTTTGTATTTTATTTAAGACAGAGTCTCACTCTGTCACCCAGGTTAGAGTATAGTGAGTGGCACTATAGTGAGTGGCTCACTGCAGCCTTGATCTCCTGGCCTCAAGTGATCCCCCCAGTGATCCCTCCGCCTCAGCCTCCCAAGTAGTTGGGACTACAGGTGCACGCCACAACACCTGGCTAATTATTATTATTATTATTTTCTGTATACGTGGGTGTCCCACTCTGTTGCCCAGGCTGCTTTGAAATCCTGGGTAGTGATTCTCTCACCTCAGGCTCCCAAAGTGCTGAGATTACAGGTGTGAGCCACCATGCCTGGCCTGGCTGCCCTAACTATGGCTGTCATAGAATGGGTGGCTTAAACAACAGAAATTTATTTTCTCACTGTTCTGGCTGCTGGGAAGTTCATGATCAAGGTGGCAGCTCATTTGGTTTCTGGCGAGGGCTGTCTTTCTGACTTGCAGGGGGCCCCTTCTTACTCTGTCCTCATAGAGTTGAGAGAGAAAAAGGAGTTCTCTGCTGTCTCTTCTCAGTAAGACACCGATTTTATCAGACCAGGTCCATCCTACCCGCCGTCATGGGCTCATCTAACCCTAATCATCTCTCAAAAGTTCCATCTCCAAATATCATTTTTTGGGGATTAGGGCTTTGACATATGCATTTTGAGGGTACACAAACAGCCCATAACAACTGAAATTGTTGAATAGCTGAAAGTGACTTGAAATGTTAGCAGCAGAAACAGCCTGGAAAGCCTGGGTGTGGTGGTCACACCTGAAATCCCAACGCTTTGGGAGGCCAAGGGGGATGGATCTCCTGAAGTCAGGAGTTTGAGACCAGCCTGGCCAATGTGGTGAAACCCCCTCTGTACTAAAACTACAAACAATTAGCCGGGCATGGTGGCAGGTGCCTGTAATCCCAGCTACTCAGGAGGCTGAGGCAGGAGAATCACTTGAACCCGGGAGGCAGAGGTTGCAGTGAGCCGAGATCACACCACTGCACTCCAACCTGGGCAACAAGAACAAAACTCTGTCTCAAAAAAGAAAAGAAAAGAAAAGAAAAAAATTGCCTGGAGGCGTCTTCCTTCATATGCCTGGGATCTGGGACAGGATGACTCTGAGGCTGGACTCAGCTGGGACCATTGGCTGAAACATCAACACTTTCCATCCAGCCTGGACTTTCACATTAGATTTTGCATGAGTCCACAATAAACCTTTGCTATGCTAAGCCACTAATACTTCGGGTTGATTGCTGCAGTGTAGCCTACCTCATCCTGGACTAACAGAATGATTTTCAAATACACAGCTATTTAATGTAATGAGATAAATCCTGTTAGCCTAGAGGCTAGCCTGAGGAATGCCTTTTCTTTCCACCATGGGCAATCTGGAAAGCTGAGCTTCGGCTCTGTGAGACACAGGAGATATGCATAACACGGACCAGGGTGCTAGCCTTGTCATGCCGTTTATAAGCAGCGTGGCCTTGGATAAATTACACAATCTTTCTAAGCCTCAGTTGTTTCACCAGTAAAATGGGAAGATGATTATCACACTTATCTCAGGATTGTGAGAATTAAATGGGATGAGGTATCTATTATATGGCACTGGGTACAGCATAAGCACTTATTAAATATTAACTGTTATATTACTTACATTATTATATAGTCCACAATCTCTTGAACTGAAGGCTAGGATGGTGTCAGCTATGCACAGTTGAAAAAAAAAAAAAAGGTGCAGTAGCTCCTGCCTGTAATCCCAGCACTTTGGGAGGCTGAGGTGGGTGGATCACAGGGTCAAGAGATTGAGACCATCCTGGCCAACATGGTGAAACCCCATCTCTACTAAAAAAATACAAAGAATTAGCTGGTCGTGGTGGTGCGCACATGTAGTCTCAGCTATTCAGGAGGCTGAGGCAGGAGAATCGCTTGAACCCGGGAGGTGGAGTTTGCAGTGAGCCAAGATCACACCACTACACTCCAGCCTGGATGACAGAGCAAGACTCCATCTCAAAACAACAACAACAACAAAACCAGTTGAATCAGAACATCCAGAGAGAAGATTGAGTATCTTTTGAGTTTGGTTAGGGCTGAGAGGCAAAAGGAGGCTTTTGAACTCTTAAAGCCACAAACCAGAAGTGAGGAGAAAGGCCCCCCGTTTTGATATATTAAATATCTACTTATGTATACACCACCTGGTTCCATGTAAAAAGAGAGAGGAAAGCAGATTTCATGCCATCTAATTTTCTGGCAACAAAAACAGATGCTAAAACAAGGATGGGACGTAAAATAGAAACAGAAAGTAGCTCCCAGAAAAATCTTACCGCGGGAACCTCGCTGCAGACTCTAGCCGACTGTGCAAAAAGTGCAGCCGTGGTAGTTACACAACCTCGCAAGGTTGCACAATCCCCAGGTTCTTCACCACCCAGTCACGCCATTGCCAAGGCGTGCTCCCAAGGGAGGGACTGGGAGGCATGCCGCTGGCAAAGGTGACTTGAGTAAGGTGCTGGGTGTTGTACTTAGCACTGTGCCATAGGTGCTGAGTGACCCACAGATTCAAGGTGTGGCTGCCGGGCCCCATGCTGGGGGAGGGCGGGGGGACCCTGAGAGAGAGAAGGATCCCATTTGTGTCTTTATCGCCATCACTCCAATTCAGAGGAGAGAATGTCTGAAAAAATTCTCTCTAGCTTGCACTTTTTAGGCTGTTTAATTTTTTATTGTTGAGTAGGAACAATGAAACAAAGCAGTTTCCTGTTTCTTGGCCCCAACCCCGCGCCACCAATGAGGAATTTGAGTTTAAAACTGCCGGAGAGGAACATTTAAATTCTATAAATTAGCTTCACTAAAGATGCTTAAGCGTATATGAAAACATTCCCATTTTACACTCAGCTTTATCAAATCTTAAAGAAAAAAAAATCCCAAACTGCCATGTGAAGCTAAGCTGGCAGAGAGAGCAATCTGCTCAGTGCAAATAGCCAACAGCTTTACAAATGAGGAATATGGAATCAGGATTAAGGGCCGCCAGATCATTTATCAGTGACAAAACAAAGATTCTTAGCCTCTAGACTCAGAGTCCACGGAGACTCTCATGGGCTACGTCGCATGCCCCAGAAGCAGTGTGCAGTATTAACTCATTTATACCCACATTAATTCTGGCATCAGGGAACCCCACTGTGCCTGCCTCGGTGCCCAGAAGAGCTATTTTAGTGTAAAACAGAACTTGGCTTCAGGGAAGTCCTGAGTTTAAATCCTGGTTTAGTTACTAACAGGCTGCTGACGTTGAACAATGGAAGTTATAATTGGAAGACTTAGCTTCCTCCTTTGAACACTGGAGAGAATAATAACATGCAGGCACTCAATAAGGGATAATTTCCCTGATATCTTCACTTCTAGACAAACAGAATAAACATAATAAAACTACAGAGTGGTTGCATCAAATGTACATTTAAATAAACGTGTTTGGGCACACACTCCCATTCCCACCACGAAAAAGAGAGTGTGCCGAAGAAAGAAAATGAGACCCCAGTTCTTTTTACTCCTATATCTACTTTTCTTATTTTTCTGATGATACCTGGGCCTTCTATGCCGCTGGGAGACAAAAAGGTCAGAGCCAAAAGCAAAGAGAAACTGACGACATTAATTTTGGTTCCTGATTCTGAGGGTTTAGGTTTAGAAATAATTTTGACTCTTGGCTTTATAGAAATTTCCCCTTAAGTGTTTACGTTAAAATCTGTGACTCCCCCCCCCCGCACCCCCCAGTCCCCTTCAACAAACATACAATTCTAATTACTCTTTTAACCTCCAAGCAGCAGGGCACAGAGGAAGGAAGACTGACATTGTCTGGCTGGGGGACCACAGTCGTCTAAATTCCAAGCCCCTTCAAAGAGATTAGAGCCAAAATGGAAGTTCTTGTTCACTACAACTTATTAAAATGCTGTACGTGTTTCCAGTTTTCTTCTGCCTAATTTGCATCTTTTCTGTCCTTCAAAATTAAGTGGTCACCCCAATGGATAAATATCATCTCTGAAGCGATATTCTGAGCAGTGCTTAGAGATTAGACTTTCCAAGGACGAATGCTTGATTTAATAACTATCATTGCCAACTATGCGTTATCACTATTTGCACAGTTTTACCTTTAATATGACACATTTATTTTCATGGCATTTCATTACAGTCTCCATGGACAATGGCTGGAGCAGAGAGGAATTCTCAGGTTTTTGGGTTTTTTTTGAGACCGAGTTTTGCTCTTGTTGTCCAGGCTGGAGTGCAATGGCACCATCTCTGCTCACTGCAACTTCTACCCTCTGGGTTCAAGCGATTCTCCTGCCTCAGCCTCCCAAATAGCTGGGATTACAGGCCCCTGCCACCACGCCCAGCTGATTTTTTGTATTTTTAGTAGAGATGGGGTTTCGCTATATTGGTCAGGCTGGTCTTGAACTCCTGACTTCATGATATAACCACTTCAGCCTCCCAAAGTACTGGGATTACAGGCATGAGCCATGGCACCTAGCCTACGAATTCTCAGTTTTAATGCTTGCTTAGTGATATGCTGGGTCAGCACTTTTCTCTCTCTCT